GTTCCGCTGTTACGAGGCGATGGCGACAGCAACGTTGGGCCACGCTGTGTCGAAGTTGACCGTTGACCAAGGCCGTGAACATTGTTCAAACGAACAGAAGCTATACTACGACGAAAAAGGTATCCAAATTGAGGCCACAGCAGGATATACACACAATGTGGTAGCAAAAAGGAAGGTTTAACCGGACGTTAATAGAGAAGGTTCGTATTCAACAGGAGTCCAACCCGCGCAACCGCTGATAGGAAGACTCCTGCGGAGCTTTGGCTGAAGGACAAACAGGATCTGGCAAGACTTAGAGTTTTCATATGCTAGGCTTTTGCTTGGATACCATCGCACAGAGAAAGATGGTACACCCCAAGAGCAGAGCTGCAGTGATGGTAGGGTATGATCGGAACGGCTTCCACTTATGGGATGCGGAAACTAGGCTGCTATTTACCTCAAGAGATGTTAAATTCGATGAATTTTTCTTTCCGTACCATACGAATTCAACGATGAACTACAAAATAAATAAGTTTGAGGACTGAACCACAAGACTGAGCAAGAGGGAAAAAACCTGAATCAGAGTGACAACGATGATGATGTGCAACTTTCTTTCAGAGGTGCTCCCTTCGCAACAAGAACTTGGTTCGAACTTTGATACGGCAACCATTAGACACACCGAATGGGAGGGCAGGATCCCCGGTAATTTGATAGATTTTTTCACCGGGAGAATTTTTACTGCTGTAGATTGCTCATCAACAGATGCCATTCAAGCCTTCGATGAGCCAAGCTGCGATCAATCAGTCATCAAACTGGAATGCCCGTGATACGATGTACCTGGAACTTACGACGAGATTTTAGGCAGCTCCGATGAACTGGTAACTGGTTTCAAGCTGTTAAAGACGAGCTAAACTCCATGAACGAAAACGACGTCTGGTGTCTGGTGGAAAGCCCAAGCAATGCTGTTCTGATCAAGACAAAGTGGGTGTTTCGCATCAAGGAAAGATGGTAAACCTTCCCATTATAAAGCGCGTCTAGTAGCTTTCAACAGAGGCATGGATTAGACTACACTGAAACCTACGGTCCAGTAGCAAAAATTGCAAAGATTCGGACTGTCCTGGCTGAGGCGGTTCACAGTACGCACATCAACATGGAGTCTTGTAGTGAAGACTGGTTTTCTCTATGGGGATCATCAAGAGAACGTGTACCTGGCTGTTCCTGACGGGATTGATGCGCCGTCCAACCTGGTATGCAAATTGAAGAAATCCTTATATGACTTGAAGCAAAGCCCACGCTGTTGGAACAACAAGTTGAACGAAGAATTCTCGAAGTAAGAATTTTCACGTGTCAAACACGATTACTGCTTATATGTCAAGACCACTAGGAAAGATAATGTGTACGTTATTGTATAAGTTAAGAACGCAGTGTTGCAGAAACCATTCGAATTTCATACACAAGGATCAATGAAATCAAAACCTTTAATCAACATCAACTAGCAGCAACATTAGTTTTCTTCGAGGAGAAGTCACAATCATGGTCAGCAAATTTATCGAAATACACTGAGCAGCATAGAACCAAACCAAACAAACTGCAACGCGCTTCATCAGCAACATGCGACCGGACGGCAATTCAATTTCACCACATATATACTATAGTAATGGCACGTTTCTCCAGTGAGGCCTCTGTAACTTCTGGCAAATAAAATTAAATTCATTATTGTTTTGGATTTGGAAGTGGTAACATCTAGTTAGTCCCTTTTTAAAAACGTATCACAAAACCATGAGGTTTTAACTTATATATTGGTGATCTCCTAGTTTCTGGCGACCATTTGCATTCAGTTTTGGAAATCAAGAAAACACTTTACGAGATGTTCCAAATGTCAGATTGCGGGGAAATCAACTACTTCCTGGGAGTCAAGATTCGATACGACAGGATGACAGGAACACTATCATTGTCCCATGAAACTGGAATCAACCGTGTACTGATCAAGTTTTAAATGATTAACTGCCATTTAATCAAAACGCCGATGGAGAAGGGTTGTCTGCTACATGTTCAAGATATAGGCCAAACCGCGAGTTACTGGAAAGTATCATGTACACAATGCTATGTGTTCGTCCGGATATCAGCTACTGGATGGGATATCTAGATAGATATCAGCAGAATCCATGAGATTCCCATTGGCAAACTTTGAAGTGAATCGCTCACTACTTAAAAGGCCTAAAAGGACATGAAGCTCCTATACACCAAGTAGGATAGTTCAACTGCTCTGGTGGGATTTTTCGAGGCGGCAGATGCTGATGCAGATGCTGTAGACAAGAAATCTGTACCCGTATTCGTGTTTCAAATTTTTGGCAGTACAGTTTCGTGGGCCAGCAGGAAACAACAGAATCCGGTGCGCTAAGCATGGCTGTGTCTGAATGTATATGGCTGAAAGGAATTCTCATGGTTATGGCATCGGATCAGTCCTTCATGATCTTCGAGAATAACCACGGGTGCATTTCTATGGCGAAGAACACAGAACGTAAAAAAGCAAAACATATCGATGTCAAGCATCACTTCTTGCAGGGAATAATGAAGATTGAGCCAATCTCAAGCAACAAGCAATTAGCGAATATATTCACCAAAGTGCTAGATACTACAAGATTTCAAGAATTTCGAAATCTCCTAGGATTAGCCGATTAAGAGGGTATTGATGCAATCGAAGCTACCGAAGACTTTAATAGTTGTTAGCAAGTCCTTAGCAACGCTATTGGTTTCAAGTAATAAGTCGGTAAAATTTTTCATTTCAATTGTAACACTACACAAGATCATTCCAATATATTCAACTGTTGTTTATTAACTCTCAAGAAAAAAGTGTTAAGGAAAGTATTTTTTTCAACGACACATGTAAAAGTTAAAGTCCGTTTTTTTTTAGTTGCACCTAAATTAAGACAAAATTGAATAAATCAGCATTGCAACTCATCCACTTCTGTTTTACAATTCGGGCTAACTAACAGCACGAGATGATTTTCTAGTGCTAGTAAATTGGAAAATCTTAGTACAAAACTTAACCAGACTCAAACTTCAAAAAGTTGGATGTCTCAAGAGCTGTTAGAAACCGATTACCAATATCTTATTTTAATTCACACGGTAAGTCTTCTTCCACCTGGTTGATCTAACCCTAAAGAGTCGCAATGTCTCTGAACCGGTTGCCCCCTTCAAATTGGGAGCCCTGGCTTTAGCCCACCATCACCCAACTGTTAATACGACCCTGGTTTGACCTATAGTAGGGTTCAAACAAGCGAACTCCACTATCGTGACATCAATTCATTCACAAGACCTACAAGATCCTCCAATCCAGTCCCTATCATTCTCTTGACTCATCCTAAGACCTAAAGGTACACTGAAAATCATAGCCATAATACCTACACTTGAAGTTTCTCAGTCTTGTGCGCAGAGTTCAGTGAACTCATCAAAGTTCACAACCTTGGTGAAACTTATTGTAAAAGATCACTGGTGTGCTTTGGGCAGTTATAATTCATAGTCCATAGGTGTTAACTTTGGGTAATCCATAATTCTGTCTTCGAAAGGGCCTCCCATATAGCAATTTTGGTTTACCAAAGTCTTGTATACCATCTTTTGGACTTGAAGAATGCTTTTAAACCTCGATAAAGCTTGCAATGTTACTAGGGTTGTGTTTGTGTTTGACTTTGACCGATTCTTAAAGCTACTTGTATATTAGTCAGATACTTTCTCACATTTCATATCCTGAAAAGCCTCATTTAACGCACCTGTTTGAACCATCTTCATTCCCCGGGGGTCGATTCATCTCCTTTTAGTCCTCAGACATCCACATCGAGATCAGAACGCGTGAGTTGAAAGTGCGAGTATGTGTGTGTGTATTCACCAAAGACTGGTCATATATTTTCGGCTGCTGTTTATATTTGTAATATCGGTGTAATTTTTCGCGCTGGTTTCCATCGAAACGACCCACATAAAATAAGCCTCCACCTCCATTGACCATCGGGGATTATAATGAACGTGTGGAGAGTAGCAGCAAGCCCTCATAAGCCCTGTGTCAGCTTTAAAGTCGACTCCCGTAATAAATTGCGCTGGGGCCCGTCCGTCGTCGGGCGTTTGGGTGCGTCGTATGTTTGCACAAGATTGTGGGAGGGGGATGAACGAATTATGAGCGTTGCTTTTCCGAGGCAGCAGCAGCAGCAGCCAGCAAGAATATTGCAACGTGCGAAATAAAATGCTTAAAATTACACAACATCGCACCGGTGGTGGGTGGATCGTAAACGGGGTGGGAAGGGGTGCAGCAGAGTGCGTTAAACAGCGGGGAATGGTTTATCCTTGTTTTGTTATGGACACCGGGTGATAAAATTTAATTAATATGTATTTGCGAGCGTAAATCTTGTGGCGTGGCAAAATGGATCGGGAAAGGGTTTTTTGGTCCCGAGATTGGGATTTCCGGTGCCCCGTGGTCAGATGATAAGTTGGAATTATGTCTGTTCATGTCCAACTTGGGTTGACTCATAAAGATGTCTGCCAAAATAAATTCATAACTTGAAGATCTCGGATCACATCTCAGCTTGAAGAATGTCATGGGAATTGTCACGAAAAACGTTACATAATGACAGTCATAACTCCGATGTTTCATCCTTCTCGGCTGTCGGTGTGGGAGTTCTCAGGGGAGAGTATCCCGTCAACCCGTTTTTGATGGTGGGTGTCAGATATGACGAGCAGTTTAATTTTTTATATTTATGACGCTCATTCCGCGAGCAGCGACGCTCGCTGAGTCATATTTTTTATGCCCCGCCAGGATTTGGTGCCAACTTTATGCACTTTTAAATGACGTGCTTAGAAATATGACAGTATGACGGTTCATAAACACAGAAACAAAAAGTAAAAACGTTTGACGATTTGCGTCTCCCAACAGGTGGTAGGCTGTCATCAGTTTAACGGTGGAGGTTGTATATTGTTTACGATTTTTTTTTATCAAAAGGAAATTGAAAATTTGTTTATTATTTTTGCCTTACCTCGTTTTCACCTCTTTCGACTGCCATTCGGAATGTTTGTCGAAGCTGATGAGAATGGCCGCAATTTCCTGAAAATAAATTAACGGAAAAAGAAATGATTACATATGGGTTTAAGATTAATTTAAGTGCAATGCATTATAGGAGGTAGTGGTCAAGAGAGTCGAAATGTCTTTAAAGTTTGAATTGATAAAATTTAAGCTTACTTATTTTCAAATAGTACAATCACTCATTAGTCCATTCTCAACCAACAATAGAAAAGAGCCTATCAGATTTAATATTTGTACTGCTCTTGTCGCGCAAATCGAAGCTCTTCTACGCAAAACCAGCAATACTACCGGGAACGGCTGAATTCCTCCTATTCTATGGGGTTGTTGGTTTGCATAGGCGAGCTTCGGTTCGTACTATAAGGGAGTTACAAGTATTGTTTACAAAAACTGATAGGCCTTTTTCAATTGTCGAAAATTGGTAAATGGCCAGTATTTAATTGAGCAATTTTCAATTTTCAATTTTGAATAGTTTTATTTTAAATAAGTCAATTATTAACAGGACAATTTTGAAATGGTCAATTTTGAATTGGCTAATTTTGAATTGGTTAATTTAAAATTCATAAATTTTGAATTGATCAATATTTAACTATTGATCAATATTTAACCATCCAATTTTGAATTGGTCAATATTTAACCAGCCAATTTTGAATTGGTCAACATTGAATTGGCCAATTTTGAGTTGGTAAATTATGAATTGGTCAATTATGAATTGGTCAATTTTCAATAGATCAATTTTCATTGATCAATTTTGAATTGGTCAATTTTTAATTAGTCAATTTTTAATTAGTCAACATTGAATTGGTTAATTTTTAAATTAATCAATTTGGAATTGGTCAATTAAGAATTGGTCGAGTTTAAATTGGTAAATTTTGAATTGTTCATTTTTGAATTGGTAAATTTTGAATTGGTCAATATAAAATTGGCCAATTTTGAAATGATTAATTTTGAACTGGTCAACTTTGAATTGGCCAATTTTGAAATGATTAATTTTGAATTGGTCAACTTTGAATTGGCCAATTTTTGGTTCATTTTAAATGAGTCTATTTTGAATTGGTTGATTTTGAATTGTTCAACTTTGAATTGGTCAATTTTGAATAGGTTGATTTTGAATTAGTCAATTTCAAATGGGTCAATATTGAATTGGTTAGTTTTGAATTGGTAAATTTTAAATTGGTCAATTTTAATTGTTAATTTTTGAATTGATCAACTTTGAATTGGTCAATTTTGAATTGTTCATTTTGGAATTGGGCAATTTAGAATTCGTAAATATTGAAATGGACAATATTGAATTGTTTAATTTGGAATTGGTCAATTTTGAATTGGCAAATTTTGAATTGGTTAATTTTAAATGAGTATATTTTGAATTCGTCGATTTTGAATTGTTCAACTTTGAATTGGCCAATTTTGAATTAGTCAAATTTAAATCGGCCAATTTTTGAATCAGTCGATTTCGAATGGGTCGATTTTAAATTGGTTAATTTTGAGTTGGTCAATTTTGAATTGGTTAATTTTGAATTAGTCAATTTTGAATTGGTTAATGCTGAATTACTCAATTTCAAATATGTCGATTTTGAATTGGTTAATTTCCAATTGGTTAATTTTGAACTAGTTAATTTTGAATTGGTTAATTTTGAATTGGTTAATTTTGAATTGGTCAGCTTTGAAATGATTAATTTTGTATTGGCTGACTCGTAATAATAGCGCACATGCTTTTGTAAATAAACACGGCTATCGCCAATTTCTTGCGAATAAAAGCTCAATCTCGGAAACTAGCTACACAATCATGTAGAAGAATAAAGCCTGTAACATTTGGAATAGTTTGTTTGCGAAATTAATCTTTTATCCGTTCGGAATTTTGAAATGGTCAATTACCCATTGCCTAGTGGTTTAAACGTCTGTTTTCACACTGTTAATTAATAACACCATGGAAATGTGAATTTAGAGTGATGATGTCTTAAGCAAAGCTGATGTACATAAAGGGTGATACGGTCAAAATTTGGTCAATATCAACTTGACGTATTTCTTTCAATTTTGCATTTAAAAAACCTGAACACCCCTCATTTTGAAGGTGTGTGTGTGTAGAATGTTGCTCCTATTTTGATTTTGGAATTCACTCTTCAGTTGTCAAAATGCCGTCCAAGCAAGAAGAGCAGCGTATCAAAATTTTGCTCGCGTATCGCGAAAATCCGAGCTACTCGCACGCAAAGTTGGCAAAATCGCTAAAAGTTGCCAAATCAACCGTTACAAATGTAATTAAAGTGTTTGGGGAACGTTTGTCGACAGCCAGGAAGTCTGGATCGGGGGGAAATCGAAAACCGGATGCCGCTGAGACGACAAAGAGAGTTGCCGGTAGTTTCAAGCGAAACCCTAACCTCTCTCTCCGAGATGCCGCAAATAAGCTGGGTGTATCGTCTACAACCGTGCATCAAGCCAAAAAATGAGCCGGACTATCGACTTACAAGAAGGTAGTGACTCCAAATCGCGATGATAAACAAAATACGACGGCCAAAGCGCGATCCCGGAGGCTGTACACGACGATGCTGACGAAGTTTGACTGCGTGGTAATGGACGACGAAACCTACGTCAAAGCCGACTACAAGCAGCTTCCGGGACAGAAGTTTTATACGGCAAAAGGAAGGGGAAAGGTAGCAGATGTTTTCAAGCACATGAAACTGTCAAAGTTCGCAAAGAAATATCTGGTTTGGCAAGCCATCTGTACCTGTGGCTTGAAAAGCAGCATTTTCATAGCTTCCAGGACTGTCAACCAAGAAATTTACGTGAAAGAGTGTTTGAATAAACGTCTGCTGCCTTTCCTGAAGAAACACGGTTGTTCCGTACTGTTTTGGCCGGATTTGGCATCTTGCCATTACGGTAAAAAGGCCATGGAGTGGTACGCCGCCAACAACGTGCAGGTGGTTCCCAAGGACAAGAACCCTCCCAACACGCCAGAGCTCCGCCCAATTGAGAAATACTGGGCTATTGTCAAGCGGAACCTAAAGAAGACCAAAAAAACTGCTAAGGGCGAGCAGCAGTTCAAGGCAAACTGGCTTTCTGCGGCGAAGAAGGTGGACAAGGTGGCTGTACAAAATCTGATGGCAGGAGTCAAGCGTAAGGCCCGGCAATTCGGATTTGGAAAAGCGGAAGCCTAACTGAATATTTTTCCTGAATTTTATACTAATTGAACTTGAAAAAGAAATTTAATTTGATTTTTTAAATAAACGATTTCACCGATTTACACGCGTTTTCCCTTGACCAAATTTTGACCGTATCACCCTTTAGCCTTCTTCATCTTTTGAAAATTTGAGTTTTGTGATTAATCCTCCTCAAAGTGGGACGCAAAACTTGGTTTTTCACAAAAGCAAGATATAAAATTGATATCTTCGGCAAAAAATAGTTGGAACAACTTTGTCGAAGACTTCAAAATCACCAATTTAATTCCATTCCAATTCGATTCCTATTCTATATAAATTCACATAAATTCCATTCCAATTCCATTCCAATTCCATTCAAATTCACATAAATTCCATTCCAATTCCATTCCAATTCCATTCCAATTCCATTCCAATTTCATTCCAATTCCATTCCAATTTTATTCCAATTCCATTCCAATTCCATTCCAATTCCATTCCAATTCCATTCCAATTCCATTCAAATTCACATAAATTCCATTCCAATTCCATTCCAATTCCATTCCAATTCCATTCCAATTCCATTCCAATTCCATTCCAATTCCATTCCAATTCCATTCCAATTCCATTCCAATTCCATTCCAATTCCATTCCAATTCCATTCCAATTCCATTCCAATTCCATTCCAATTCCATTCCAATTCCATTCCAATTCCATTCCAATTCCATTCCAATTCCATTCCAATTCCATTCCAATTCCATTCCAATTCCATTCCAATTCCATTCCAATTCCATTCCAATTCCATTCCAATTCTATTCCAATTCCATTTTAATTCCATTCCAATTCCATTCCAATTCCATTCCAATTCCATTCCAATTCCATTCCAATTCCATTCCAATTCCATTCCAATTCCATTCCAATTCCATTCCAATTCCATTCCAATTCCATTCCATTCCTATCTTATTTCAATTCCATTCCAATTCCATTCCAATTCAATTTCAAATTATTTTGTAAAAATTTCAGTTTATTTCAATTTAAATTCCATTGCAATTCTATTTCAATCCCATTTCATTTTCATTTCAATTCCATTTAAATTCTATTTCAATTCCATTTAAATTAAATTTCAATTCCAGTTCAATTCCATTTTAATTCCATATCAAGTTCCTTTCAATTCCATTTTAATTCCATTTTACTTCCATTTGAATTCCATTTGAATTTCATTTGAATTCCATTTAAAATTTCAATTCCATTTCAATTCCAATTCCATTCCAATTTATGTTTCGATTCCAACAGTTGTTCCAATCCCAATTGCAATTCCATTTAATTTTAAATTTCAATTCCGATTCCATTGCATTGGTTAATTTTTAATTGCTCCAAATCTAGTTCAATTCCATTCCTATTATTTTCAATTCTATCTTATCTTCATTTTCATTCCATTCCAATTAAATTCCATTTCAATTCCATTTCAATTCTATTTCAATTCCAATTCAATTCCATTTTAAATCCATTAAAATTTCTTTTTAATTCCATTTAAATTCCATTTTAAATCCATTAAAATTTCTTTTCGATTCCATTTCCATTCCAATTCCATTCCTATAAGTGAACCGATTCCAATCCTAATTCCAATCCCAATTTCAATTCAATATAATTTTAAATTTAAATTCCTTTTCCATTGCATATCGGTTAACTTTGAATCGGTCAATTTTCAATTGATCCAATTCTATTTAAATTGTATTTCAATTCCTATCAATTTATTTTTCAAATTCCCTGCAACCTTCATTTCCATTCCATTTGAATCTAATTAATTTACAATTCCATTTCAATTCAATTTCAATTCCATTTTAAATCTATTTCAAATTCATTACAATTCCGTTTAAACTCCATTCCAATTCC